TTCATGACTAAGGCAGGACTAAAATTCACAGTCTCCAGTTTCTAGGCCAGAAAATGAATAAAGATTGATTTCCAGAACAAATATATGAAAGAACAACAAACTGGTAAGAGAGGTGGAAGGATTGTGATAATTATGGCTGGATAGAGTTAATGATATCCTCAGAAACAGAAAGTTAACAAGTTTAAAGCATAAATAGCAATATATCAACTGGTATATAAACATGAGAGAAGCAATGATGCTCTGCAAGGTTCATTGTATTTCTATTTTCACATTTTTTTAAAAAAAGTTCTTCACTTACCAAAGAAATTATGCCTTTATTCCCTTTCTGCAATTTGCATAATGTTGCTTACTCTAAAACTGAATAAGTTGGGTATGTAGATATGTGTGCATTTATATAGTGTGTGTAAAATATTTCATTTGGTACATTTAACCTACATGCTGTCATCTTGGCCTGTTTTCAAGAGGATTAAAGGAATGTTAGAACATCGGCATTGAATTTGTCAAATTGAAAGGACAGTAGTTACTGGCTTGTACAATGTTTTGCAGCCTTAGGCCTTCCAACTAGAAATATGTCCTGAGCTGTACAAATTGCTGAAACATATGTTTAATTTCTTTGACTAAACTATTTGTCAGCTGTGTCACATTATTCTTGTGGATTCCATGCTATAGTAGTGGAAACCTTTTGGGGAAAGCATACAGTAGAAATGCCACCTTTGGTTAAGTTTCCACCAATTTTTCTTCTAATTTCTTTATAACTGTAGCCTCGTTCACTTAATAATACTACTTTACATCGCTTTCTGGGCAACCAGTCAACTCTTTGCACCATTACTTTAATTTTATTGCATTTTACAAGCTCACTAAATGAAAGAAAGAAAAAAACCCAACCAACTTGATAGCGATCACATAACACACTGACAAATGTCCTCCTCTGAGCTTCAATACATGACATCAATTCTATTGTGATCTGATTGGCTCATTGCCAAAACAAGATGACATCTGATTGGCTCTCTAAACACTCATGCTCATTGGCTACAATCAGTTGAAGGAAAGCTACCTGATATCAACCTAAGCAAGATGTGCTTCCTTTTTCTGGTTATTTGGCTATAACTTTTCATAGAATACAGTACAGATAATTGAACTTTGTTGCATTACATTCTTGATTAAATCATTGATATAAAATTTTATGGTACTACTCCAAAAAAAGTGATGTTATTAGTCATCAAATCTCAAAAATACAATTTTCCCAAAAGGTTTCCACAATTGTGGTCACTACTGTAGATGTTCTGCAGAAAGATAGAATATTGGTGATGTGGTGTCATTGTGAAATTTTGACTAGGGAAAAAAGAGAGGGAAATCCATCCATTTTCCTCCTGTGTTAATGCATAGTCCACTAGGCAGGCAGCAAGTTTCGAGAGAATTCAGCTCTTCGTTAGTAGATTTTGTTATGACTTTTACTAGTACATCAGGTTTGTCTATTTGCGTTTTATGTATAATACCATTACACGCCAGGGATAGTGCCTGCTGATTTCTTGGCATGGCTACCTGAGTAACTTTTACTACGCTCTTCAGTATTCTTTGTGGACATTTGAAGTTGGCTGCGTCTGCACATTTTCTAGTATCCATTTGCAGTAATGGATACTGGCATTGACAGGGGGTTGGAGCAGAAGATCTCCAATCCTTACATTCAATGCTTCAGCTTTATGCAGATCTTTGACAGGAAATAATTGTGCACTCTGTGGCACCTGCATGTCCAGACAGGAGAAGAGTCTCAATTTGGTCTTCATCAGCTTTTTAACTGGCTTTTCTCATAGAAAATGTTCCAGCAGTTTCCACCAGTTAACAGTTGGAATCTATTATCACTTTTCCTGTGACGTAGTTGCTCCAAATGTTTCTTCTCTGAATAAAACTTCTCACATTCTCCAATAAAGAATTTCTTTATATTTAAAAACTCTTTTGCAATTTTGGGGAACCTGAAGCTTGCTCTATGCCTAAAATAGTGTCTGCCATTTTGATACATTTTTGTGCAGCCATTGTCATTTGAACCATGCTTGATTTATAGAGAATTAATTGATCATGTTTCTGCATTTTGTTCAGTCATAACTAGTAGATACAAACTCTCTCAGTCACAGGAGCTTTTAAGCATCCTTTTAATCACTGATGGGAACAAGCACACATGTACCCAATAGAAGACATTATCTGTTCAGAAACAGAGAAGAGCATAATGCAAATACTACATTGTTTTAATGTTCTATAGTGCATTTTAATTGAATGTCTGTAAGCCGCTTACAGTCACCTTTGGAGATATGGGTGAAATATACTGTAAGTTTAATAAATACTTTGGTTGATTTCTTTTGTATTATTAGTTTTAGAATCTTTCTCCTTTCATTTTGGAGCAAAGCAATTCAGTATAGCAATAGATTTGATCAAACAACCTTTCTGGGTAAATGGATTTTTAATCTAATAAACAAATATAATAATAAATAAGTAAACAAATAGATTTACAACAGAAGATTGTTTGGTTGACCAGGGGTTATGATGTTTAGTTGAGAACCATTAACATTCTGATGGTACCTGATTCATATCAACATATGATTTTGCCCAAGGATTTCATTTAGAACTTAAGGAGAAGAATTAAGAGCATTGAGCCCTGAAGCATCTCACTATTCAGTGGCTTCAAGCTAGATTTCTCGACACCCATCAACATCACTTGGAACTGACCACAGAGAAAGAAAAGCTATCCCAGCACCAGCATTCCTACTCCCAAACTTCATAGATGGTCTAGAAGAATACCATGACTGGTATATTGGAACGGTTGAGATATTAAGAAAAAACAGGAGACTTGCACCACTCTTGGCCCAGCTCCAGCAGAGGTCACCAACAAGTGTGATCAATTCTAATTCCATACTATGCCTTGATTTGAACTCCAATTGAGTGCAGGTAATTAATCTCTTCCAGGCCCTTTGGATCCACATTCTTCACATTTTCTGGATGAAAATTGTCCAAAACCCTTAAATCCAATTATGGTTTCTTGAGGGCAAGTAGGTACACCATTGCCTCCTTCAAGCAAGTGAAACCATCCTCTTCTCAAGGATAAATTTATTATCGCATGGATTTAACCACATGTCACCTCTCAGGAGACCAGGAGGGAAAGGCATTAAATAAGCAAGTGACTGGATAGCATGTCCTGTCTACTTCCTCAAGAGTCACAGAGCCAAGCATTTCCCACATAATCAAACAAATCCTTGCCTTGGTCACATCCACAGACTCTTATCATCTCAGTGAATCTGAACAATTTTTTATCCATTAGAAGCATAGAGTAGTCTTCGTAACAGCCTGTAGATAGTCTTGTGACTCCTTCCCGGCAGGAAATGGATCACTTTAAACAGGATTGATGGTTGGTTATGTGTGGAGGCACTAACAGTACAAAAATATTTTGCTACTCTTCTTCCCATGATGTAATCCAAAATATGGGTTCTTACCAATGCTTGGTTGGTCTGTTCTTTTCTCCAACAGTGCTCTAGAAGTCTCTATTGTCTTTTATCTCCTCCAAAAACCAAGGAGCAAGACCCTTCTACTTTATAGCCAGATTTCCCCCCCCTAACAACAGCAACTACCATGTTTTTATGAAATAAGACCCAACCAGAAAATAAGCCCAAGCATGATTTTTCAGGATGCTTGTAATATAAGCCCCACCCCAAAAATAAGCCCCAGTTAAGATCGTTAGCCAGATGGATGCATTTAGTACCCTATTTCCCCGAAAATTAGACCTAACCAGAAAATAAGCCCTAATATATCTTTTGGAGCAAAAATTAATATAAGACCCAGTCTTATTTTCGGGGAAATACAGTAGGCATGTAGATTGCAGCCTGATCTATAATATGTGCATATTCGTGGGTGAGAAAATAATAGTTCACATGAGTCAAAAAGGCTGGGAAAACTGATGAGGCAAGACATTGATAAAGATTAGTTATATAAGCAGGAAAAATCAATTCAGTGGTTCTTATGAGCATTTAAAAAAAAAACCCCAGGGAATGTAAAAGAGACTTAGAAGGTTTAAGCTTAAGATCTGATTTGTTGGCTAGGTTCCCTGTGAAATCTATTATAAAACTTCAAAACTCAAGCAGCTGAGGTGGGATGAAGTGCTGATAGATTGGAAAACAGCCTCTCACATCTAAACCTCACAAACCTTCGGGCTCAGAAATCACAAACAGAACTATAGCAACTGGAATATAGCTTTCAAATGATCTATTCAGCTTCTGTTGTCTTTCAGGGAAAAGCTTCTTGTTTAGATCTAAGGCACGCATGGTATTCTAGTGGTTAAGATGTTGGGCTTGTCAGCTGGAAGGTTGGCAGTTCGAGACCCAAACACTGCATGATGGGGTCAGCTCCCGTTCTTGCCTCAGCTCCTACCAACTTAGCTGTTCAAAAGTATGCAAATGTGAGTAGATAAATAGGTACCACCTTGGTAAGAAGGTAACAACAGCCCATATACCTCATGTATAGTCATGCCAGCCACATGACCACGGAAGCATCTTTGGACAACGTTGGCTCCCATGGCTAGGAAATGGAAATGAACACCGCCACCCCCCCCCCCCAGAGATGGACACGACTGGACAGGGGGAACCTTTACCTTTTCTTATTTAGATGCTTTCACAATGAAAGGAAGAGTAATGTCTCTTTTCCAATCAATGTTAGCGATTGCTGGCAAAGACCTTGATATGAAAGCAGGGGCAAAATTGTTTCTTTCTGCACATAAGGAGACACACTTCCAAGAACTCTAGCTTGCTGTCTGCATAAATACACCATCTGGCATTTTCCTGATAACATCATCAATAAGTCCTCAAATAGCCATTCATAATGAGGATATTAGGAGCAGATTGTACTGGCCTTTAGTTTTCAATTTGCCAAGTGCTTTTTTTTTTTTAATGTTATGCCATTATTATGTCATCTTGGCTACTTCAATTGCCTTTTAATGTTCTTGACATTTCCATTCTTTGCAGACCACTCATCCAATTGTGCCTATTCTTGAAAATGAAGCACTCAGTTCTAACGAGGTAAATCACTTTCCAGTTCTGAAAGCCTGCAGTGTTATGAAAGAATATTAGTTTGCACTAATACTGGTGTACTTTTATTGGTGTGATAGCTAAAGGGAGCAGGGTCTGCCTGGCGAAGGCCCCCCTTATTCAACAAGCCAATACATTTCTTTACACAAGTTATTTTTGTTAATCTGTCGTTTTGCAAAAAAATTGTCATCTGCTTCTATCATTCGCACAAAGTACATTTGTTTTTGTTTGTTGATGAAAATCTCAAGGGACCATTTAAATCAGAGGCGTCTAACCTTTAAGACTTATGGATTTCAACTCCCAAGATGGCTGGCTGGGGAATTCTGGGAGTTGAAGTTCACAAGTCTTAAAGTTGCCAAGGTTGGACGCCCCTGATTTAGGCTTTATGGGCCAAGGACTGATTAATAGATTCTTCTTTCAGTCCGTGGTATTCTTAGTAACTTGTCTTCAAATCCATACTATAATTCCAACAAAAACAAACATAAGCTATTTTTCTTGACCACTCATCAAAACCATGATCAAGAAGTCATTAGGTAGTGCTCACTCAGTTCTCATTTGACATATGATTTCTTTTCAGCTTTCCTCTGTCAGAAGAAAAGACAAACCTTCCTACCAAGAAGAACTAAGTGAAGGAAATTTTCTAGACACTGAGAGTCCACGCCAAAGAGGTCACTGTCCACTCAGCAGAAACTCGAGAAATAATTTTGCAAAACTTAGCTAAGGTATAGCCATAAAGATCTAACACACACACACACACATACACACACACACACACACACATATATGCCTTAAATACCAGCTGCTCTGGTGAAAGAATCTCCATATCTGTGAGCGTCCTAAATTCATCCAGCTGGCAATTCAGTAACACCGCATGCAGGACAATGTGGCTCAATCCAATAAATATTAATAATGGTATTATTTTTAATTTCTAATCATGCTTGGGATCTTTTGGAGGCTTGCTGAAATGTAAAGAGGGTGCTGGAGACTGTCGTTTTGCTTTTTAACATTTTAGATTTTTTTTTAAATACTAAGGTAACATTAAATATTTCTTGAATGTTATGCTTATTTCATGTTTTAAATGCTATAAGCCCAGTAAAATAGGTAATGTGCAGGGTGCAAAAAGAGATGTCCAGGAAGACATAAGTACTCCTAGACATCACACTGGTGAACCTTAACTCTATAACAGTTCACAACTGGATTATAAACACTGAGTTCAGCCTTCACTAAAAGACTATCCCATCATAAACCTGTTGCACACATCATGCTTAGCACTGGTTTGCTTGAATTGCAGTTTGGCTAATTTGCAAGAAACAAGTGAGAATCAGTTGCTGGATGAGCAAATTATTTTTGTATCACTTGGCCAATTCCAATCTTATTTTATCCTCTTTTTAGCTGTTTTTGCCTGACACCCTAATCCTAAGCACCTTTCATTTGAGGGTTCCTTGGGGCTTTCTGCAGACATTTATCACCCAAACTAGGTAACATCATCAGTGCTAGTAAGGAGTGGGGTTTCCTCTCCCCCACTCCATACTAGCACTGATGATGTTACCTTCTTCAGTACTGTTGAAACTTTGAATGGTCACTAAACAAATGGTTGTAAGTTGAGGACTACCTTTATTTTCTATTTTAGTTTAATTGCTACTTTTACTTTAGTTATGTTCAAACTCTTTAATATATTACCCTGCAGCTTAAGAAATATTTTATGCATGCATGTTACCACATCTTTATACCAAATTTTCACAGTTATTAGATATAAAACCCAATTCCACAAAATGCCTGTTTTAAGACTTAAAGAGGATGTTTTCCTCTGTGCATTTATTTTAAAAAATGTACCATTACAAATACAAATGTACCATTACAAATACAAAGCAATTCTGTATTCAAAAGAGGGATTCTACGTTCACAGCAGACAGTGTCGCTCATTTTGGAAATATATAGAGGGCAACTCCACATTGCATTCTAAAGCTGCTCCTGTCCTTTGTTCATGCTGACTTGACTACGATGTCCTCCCATTGGATGATTCCCAGTTTCTGGTTTAGGAAGACAATATAGGAAGTCCTTGACTTACAACAGTTTGTTTAGTGACTGTTCAAAGTTACAATGGCACTGAAAAAAGTGATTTATTATTAATTTTCACAGTTATACGATCGTTATAGCACACACACCCCTGGCTGTGTGATCAAATTTCAGATGCTTGGCAATTGGCTTATATTTATGATGGTTGCCATGTTCCAGGGTCCTATGTTCCCTTTTGCGACCTTCTGACAAGCAAAGTCAATGGGGAAGCCAGATTCACTTAACAACAGTTTGACTAATTTAACAAGTACAGTGATTCACTAAACAACTATGGTGAGAAAGGTCATAAAATGGGGCAAAACTCACTTAACAACTTGCTTAGCAAGATAAATTTTGAGTTCAATTGTGGTCATAAGATGAGGACCACCATTCCTTTCCTTCCCGAAGGAAGGTCTTATTGGAATGTGTAAATATCTGGGTGGGTATATATGTAGACACATACATGCATGTGCATGCACATGCATGCACACTCACAAATATACATACATATACAAACGTAATTTGAGTGTACATTTTCAAAGTCAAGCCATCAAAAAGTACTTACATTGCATTTATTAGATAGGTACAAGAACCAGGTTTAAAATAAGAACAGCTTTCTTGCAGCCCTGTTGATCCCTAATATCTTCCAGAGATAAATGAAGAACAGAGCTTCAATAGGATAGCAATTGAAGATCTCATCTGGTTCAGAGAACATGGCTGGTCTGAAACCTGGCATATTTTTTTTAATATTATTTTTTCTCCTCTGAGCTGCCAATTTTCACACTGTTCTTTTCTTAATACCCCATTCCCCTCACATTCTAGCCACTGGAGAAATATGGCTGATAGATCAATTTATTTATTTATTTATTCATTTTTTTTTTAAGGCCAAGGGCAAAGTATGCAACTCAGAGAAAGAAAAATAATACCATATCTTTAAAAAACCAGTAAGGACAAAAGCAGAAGGGCTATTCTTAAAGAGGAAACAGGAAAGCAGCACTTCAAAGGGAAGCAGGGGAAAAAAATGTACTGGGAAATGGCTTTGTGCCCTCTAAGGGTAACTACAAGGTGACATCATCTATTCCTACTATCCAGAAATGGTTGCTGGCCTCCATTGATCAAAAGAGTCCATTCTGAATAAAATCAGCTTGTTTTCAATTTCACACTGGTTTGAATTCAAAATGATTTGTGCACCACGACTGTCTAGCCCAGTGGTAGGCAACCTTGACTCTTTTATGACTCGTGGACTTCAACTCCCAGAATTCCTTAGCCAGCCATGCTCAGAAATTCTGGGAGTTGAAGTGCACGAGTCATAAAAGAGCCAAGGTTGCCTACCCCTGGTCTAGCCTAAAAGAAGCATCTTATATTTACTTCACTGTAGGAAACAGTGAAGGGGAGAAAGGTGAACAGGATTCTGGATTGCAGTGTGTGAAAAATCCTGGCACTGAGGGAATATAAAGAATGGCACGATTGGTAAAAAATGTGTAATAATATTGAGAATGTACACAGAAAAATGGAATCTTTTTGCAATAGGCCTGACATATCAACTGTAACTGATTAAAAAAAACTCTCTGAATTAAAAACGAGGGGGGGGGGGAAGGAGATCTCTATGGCTGAAACAGCCTGATTATATTACAAATAAACATCTGAACCAGCAGGATAATGCAGCTAAGAATGCATGGCTGTTTTACACAATAGTTATAGTCTATATCAGGGGTGTCAAATTTAATTTCATTGAGGGCCGCATCAGCATTGTGGTTGTCCTCAGGGGGGCTGGGGGTGTGTGGCCAGGGTGGGTGCAGCCTACTGGGTGGGCATGGATGGAGTGGGTGTTGCCTACTGGGTGGGCATGGCCAGCTCTACATCGTTCGCGTCAAGGGTGCCTATGAGGGCCTGGGCAGGAATGGGACAGATCTGAGGGTCTTTGACAGAAGGGAGTGGGACTGGGGCAAGCACCAAAGCATGGTCCATTTTTTCGTTCCTCACAAATGGTGACACTTCCCCAGCATGTACCCAGGGGACGGGGCCGACGGGGCAGGGGCTGGTTTCTCGCTGTTTCTAGATGGCCTTGTGGAGCTAAGACTGAATGCGTTTCAGCATAGATGGCCACCACAAAATTGTACATTGGCTCCTGGGCAGCCTGGGCCAGGGCCAAGGCAGCAGGGGCCATTCCTTCACTATTTCCAGGATGGCTTTGCGGGCCACATGAAACCACTTCGCGGGCCGCATCCGGCTCCCAGGCCTTGTGTTTGTCATGTCTGGTCTATATGCTAACTTATTTTAGAGAAGAAATATCTCTCTCTTCCACAGTAGAAACCAAATTTAAAAAATCATTAGTTATAGTAGCAAAATAAACAAGAATAAAAGGTAAACACAATAAGAAAAAGACATTGGGATCAGATATTAAAAATAAAACCAGCAACCAAAACTAATCTGGATAATAAACAGGCAGGAGTGGCCAAATGGGACTTATTTTTTATTTATTTATCAAATTTATTTGCCAACCATCTTATGATACAGAGAACTCTAACTAGCTTACATCAAGGTATGTTCCTAGGATCTTTTTTTTTTTTTTTTATGAGGGAAAAACTATTTTGGTCATCCTGACTCCAGCCCTGGAAGGATACAGAGATGATTTTCTCCCTTAAATTTTAGAGAGCTGGCAGGAAAATAACAAAGGAAATATTCCTTTTTATAGGTACATAAATCAAAACCAGATCAAAAACCATAAATCAAAATCAGAAGTACTGTTTTGGATTATGCTCTGAAAAGTACTGGTAGCCGATATTGTCTATATACACTGTAGAAATGGGTTAGGATGAAGCTATAAAGTTGCTTATACAGTTAGTTCTCAACTTATAATCATAACTGAGCCCAAAATTTATGTTGCTAAGTGAGAAATTTGTTAAGTGAGTTTTGTCCTATTTTACAACTTTTCTTGTCACATTTGTGAAGTGAATCACTATAGTTCTTAAATTAGTAACACGAGTGATAAGTGAATCTGGTCCCCATCAGAAGATTGCAAAAGGGGATCACATCACTCTGGGACACTGCAACCCTCATAAATGTGAGTCAGTTGTCAAACGTCCGAATGTAACTCACATGACCATTGGGATGCTGCAATGGTCATAAGTGTGAAAAATGGTCATACTCATAAGTCACTTTTTTTCAATGCCATTGTAACTTTGAACGGTCACTAAATCAACTGTTGCAAGTTGAGGACTACCTGTAGATTGTAGTGTTTTATCATCACACCATTCAGATGATCATCTGGAACTTGGTATGTTTCTGTGTAATGAATTTGGTTGCTGTGCCTTTTGAAATGGAAATTTCAGATGGATGGCAAGGGTCACAAACTAAGCCATCTTGCATAGTTGTGGGATTTTCATCTGAAGATATGAGGCAGGAAAGAATAATATCACCACAGCAAGCATCTGCTCTGTTCTGAGGCATATCACTTCTGAGTAAAGACTGTATAAACTACTTTCAAATGTATTAGGCAATTAGATCTACCTTCAAATGTTAGTTTGGTACAATGATTTTTTTCCTGATCACGAAAATGTTATATAGAGTATTTACAACAAATGTTTGTATATAATATTTGAACTGCAAATAAGTAGTAGTAGTAATCAGAGATTAGCTTTCTGTTCATATTCATTCTTTAGGTTCACATGAATGTGTATCTATTTTTCTTTTTAAAACATAATGTAGGATATGCAGAGAATTAGTTACCAGTCTGGCACAACACTGGCACATAACCCATGCTGAAGTAAGCAGAAGTTTCAACTTAACATTGCTTTTCTGTGTATACTAAATATAAACTAGTAATAGCAGATGGCAAGTAGGCTCGAAAATATGTCAGCCCAAAACAGATGTGGATTGACTGAGGAAAATATTTATTCCATTTCCCAAATTGTTGACTGAGCTTTTAATGTCTGTAGTGGAGAAAATCACTTGTTTGGGGGAAAAAGTCACATAATGTTTTCAAAAGAAATAAAATCAAACTATATATTTACAAAGCATTTCTTGTGTGTTGTTATGTCTATTGATTACTGGCTAGAAGGATTGGCCAGCAATTCTCCTATTTGAACTTTGGTATCCAGGAGTTATCATTGCTGTAAGTCAGCCTCAGGTTGTGTGCCCAGTGTTTTCTAAAAGTGTTCAGAAATGTCCACCATTTTCTTCTCTCTTCTTTTCTATCGTTTTTCCTGATAGAATCCAAAAACTCATTCCTGTGTTTCATGGGCATAGTACTTTAGGACCTCTTCCAAAGCGTCATTCAGGCATTCTCCTAAATACATGAGGAAAAATCAAGTGCTGAATAATCCCTTCTCTAGTAGAGACACGCATTGCCTCTCCTTCCGATCCACACATTGGACAGAATGCACAAAAAGAACACAAATAGAGGCATTCCTTCACATTCGGAACCCCGAAAACCACCTTATAGGGAAACAGATGTGCCACATTCCAGTGGGTAGAAGCAAGGTGTGGGCAGACAGGGAAGTGTCACAGCCCTGTGCTTATATTAGTCATATTTGTATAATGGGGACAGCTATATAAGAATATTACTTGAATCATAATTTCAACAACAGATATTTAAAATGGAGGTTTACTATAATATTTGGAAAAAGACTGCATTAGAACGAAAGACGAAGCTGTTCCTGGTCTTCAGGTTAAGACTGAGTTTCCAGAATGGGAAAAGAATGGGAAGATTGGGAGAAATTGCCTTTTTGTACAAATTTAATACAGGGCGTGAAAGCCTAACTGCATATCGAGTTAAATATAAGATATTAAAAGATGCAAATGAAACAAGAGGCTTGGGTTTACCTGACTTGAAAAGGTATTTTCTGTTGTTTTAGGTTTTATCTTTATTTCTTTTTTTTTTCTTATTCTATATTAGTTTGAGCAGGGGATTGAACTAGAAGACTCCAATGTTCCTCCCAACTCTGTTATTCTGTTCTGTTCTGTTCTTTGAGTTTGCACTCATTTTATCTTTGTTTTTAAATAAAATTATAAACACACACACATATACATGTCTGCATTAGTGATCCTTGATGAAATCCAGCCATTAACGCATGAACAGAAAAAGCTGACGGCATAAGGACTGTCCTCTGTGTTCTTTTTGCTGGTGGGTATTTTAAAACATTGGAAAAACTGGGTTAAACTATGTTAATCATACCTTGAGGGTGTGACCAGGCTAACTTCTAAAGTTAGGGGGAAAAACTGAGGTTGCCAGGGTGTTACAAAG